TTAAATTTCAATTTGGGGAGATAATCTCGATTACTAACAAGATATAACATTGTATAATTTCGAGTGTAGTTATCAGACCTTGTTCGCTCAATGACCCAATAAGGTATTTTAGTAGGTTATTGGTTGAATAGTTGGGTAATCAATTCAATCGGTTGGTCATTGTCGAATTAAAAATTTAAATAAAAAATTATATAAAAAATATCTCTAAATATACAAAACATATATCACTTCTTTACAAAATCAATGATATAGTAGTATATGTAGAGTTTTTGTGATTAGTATTATAATTCAAGTAATTTTAAGTTCTGTATTTTACGAAACGTATGAATAGTAAGTAAATAGTAGTTCTACCCTTCAAATTTACCATTCAATGCCATTCTCCACTTGCCATCACCACTTTCCAATTGGTCAAAAATGACCAAATCTTACTGTTAAGCTCATGTTTAATAGGGATTAAAATCAGATTTTTAGTAGATTTTTATAAAAATTCATGAAATGTTTGGTTGAAAAGTTGTGAATCTCGTGAAATATGTGGTTGCAATTAATTGTTGATTTTAATCTGGAATAAATTTTGATTTTAATCACTATCAAAAAGGGCTAAATGTATATTAAGGGTAATAATATTTGTACATAATTTAATGTATCGAATTGTTTATCCCCTCTCACATACACGTAGGCTCCGCGTGAACAAAATCCAAGATGTGGTCCCCACTCCCCTATTGTGAGTAGTCGATAAGGGATTATGTAAAAAAATTCAATACATGTAGCATGATCCATGTATATTTAATATGTAATTTTATTACGTAATCATTTAGAAAAGTCCTTAGATTCGCCTCATTTATTACTTTGTTTTTATTTATTTTCTAGTCTAGAAGTTTGTCAAAATTAGAAATCAAGGCCATAATAAAGTCGGTAACTTGATTTCGAGTCACATTTGAGAGAGAGGGTTTAATTGAAAAAACGTTTCTCAAAATTAATATTTCCATGCTTCTACAAATATATTTTGCCGCCATGAGTTTCTCCCTCAGGCGAAATTAATCTCAACTTTTCATTTATTTAGATATAAATTTAATTTCTTTTAATTAATCGGCCATTCGAATACAAGTACAAGTTTTGTGTCAATGACTTACACCAATTTATTTATAGGAAAATTCATTTCTGAAGCCATTCTTGCACAGAAAAATCCTGCAAATAGTGAGGGTCCCACTATACGTGGGGCCATCCAAATTTCTGCCACGAATGCAAATACGCCCTAGTTTGATTTCAATTATTTTTAAAATATATTTTTTTTAACCACACGTTCTTCATCAATTTACTATTATAGAATATACTACACAAAAAAAGGGGACTCAAACATATTTTAGGGTGATTTCCACGAGGGGCCCTCAATCTTTTGTAAGTGTGGCATTATTTTCCCGAATCTAACATTTATTGCACTCATATCCATAAGATTTTAAAATTGTGGCAACTATGTCCCTAACTAACTTTATTTACACATTCAGTCCCTATTTGATCCTAATGTCTTAAAATTCATTTTTTTCTCAGACTCATTTTCAAAACAGCATATTTTATTAGATCTATTACTTCTTTCAACTTTTCAACAAAAAATTCATCAACTATTATCTAAATTCACTAAAAATATGGTTTGTAACCAAAATAAATAGGGACTAAATGATCACGTAACACTCACATGTCGTTGATGTGTTTTAAGGAAGGATTATGCTAGATGTACACAATCATCTACACATTGGATTACACCCCCCTCACATGGAGGGGGGCCCACACGCAATAAAATATTTGTGGGCTCCCCTCAATGTGAGGGAGGTATAACCTCGTGTGTAAACCACCGGGTGTACATAGAGGTGTCAATCCGGGTGGTCCGGACCGGGTCGACCCACCAACATATGAGTAAATTTCTGCCACGAATGCAAATACACCCTAGTTTGATTTCAATTATTTTTAAAATACATTTTTTTCTTTTATTTTTTTAACCACACGTTCTCCATCAATTTACTATTATAGAATATACTACACGAAAAAGGGACTCAAACTTATTTTAGGGCGATTTCCACGAGGGGGCCCTCAATCTTTTGTAAGTGTGGCATTATTTTCCCGAATCTAACATTTATTGCACTCATATCCATAATATTTTAAAATTGTGGCAACTATGTCCCTAACTAACTTTATTTACACATTCAGTCCCTATTTGATCCTAATGTCTTAAAATTCATTTTTTTCTCGGACTCACTTTCAACAGCATATTTTATTAGATCTATTACTTTTTTCAACTTTTCAACAAAAAATTCATCAACTATTATCTAAATTCACAAAAAATATGATTTGTAACCAAAATAAATAGGGACTAAATGATCACGTAGCACTCACATGTCGTTGATGTGTTTTAAGGAAGGATTATGTTAGATGTACACAATCGTTTACACATTGAATTACACTCCCCTCACATGGAGAGGGGCCCACACACAATAAAATATTCGTGGTTCTCCCTTAATGTGAGGGGGGTATAACCCCGTGTGTAAACCACGGGATGTACATAGAGGTGTCAATCTGGGTGGTCCGGGCAGGGTCGGTCCACCAACATATGAGCCAGATAACGATCCAAGCGAAAAAAAGCCCGCCCACTACAGGTTCTGGGTTGACCCATAAATTTTGGACTACAACTCATGCCCGCCCACTGACCCATCCGGGTCGAGCCCGTCGGGTCACGGGTCAAGCGGATCGCAGATTGTTCCGATTTGACCAGTATTATGTATAAATAAAATTATAAAAATATAAAATTTTTCCGGTTTGGCCCATATGGAGCGCAACTATCATTGAAAATAG